ACAACTAGACTGAAGAACAAAAGGACAGCAACTTGTCTGTTCCCCTTCCCCCAGTTCCCCAGCGCTGTTCCCATCCCCCAATTCCCCAATAAAAAAAATATTAAAAAAAAATTACTAGGGATGCAAACAAGCAAAAAAAAAATGACCATAAATGAGGAGCAAAATCAATTAATAGTAATGGATCCAGAAATGACACAAATGATAGAATTAGTAGACAAGCTCATGAAAGCAGTTATACTAATACACTGGATCAACCTTGCTCAAAAACCCTTTCCTTCACTTTGTAGGACATTGTAGTCTGCCCAACAATGATGAAACCCTGCCTGGGCTCTAAGATATCATTCCATGCTTTCATAATGGCTAATCATTTCCCAAACATGTCCATTAGGATCCAAATGAAATTATCAGTGAAAGAAGAACCACAAGGCACTTTGTGGGTTTGAGTCATTTCCCTTCAGGTGTCTCCCACATGGAGTCCCTCTAAGAAAAGGGTTGATTGAGAAGCGTTCATTGTGGAAGTGAGGTGTACTCAGAGTTTTAAGGAGAGGTTTGGAGTCAGAGTTCTAAGTATTGTACTTTTCAGAGCTTAAAGGGAAGAATTTGGCATTTTACTACTCAACACTCTTTTGTGCTTTGAGCCTTACTAGAAATGGAAGGCATATGACGTTGAAGATTACACAGTATATTGTTTATATGTTTATTCAAATCTGGCTCTAAAAAGATATCAATGGCTTTCTTTTACAGATAGTTCTAAAATCCTATTTGGTTTATGATTTCAGCAAGCTCAGCATTAGGTCTTTTTTTTTTTTATTTACTGGTTTTGGGGAAATTATCATAGATTCCATTTTATTGAGAGCATATAATTTTACCAATGTATTTGTAAGGTGCTAATTCCACAGGAATAATTAAAAAGCTTACCTCTTTGGTCTTTTTTAGTTTCTCTAATTGCAAGGTGTCCTTTTCATGTTGTTTCAAGAGCTCCTAAAAATAATTTTATTTGGAAAATATCAGCACTTGGGTTCTGGCACTTCTTTCAAAAACTAAGGAAGCCAGAATAAGATTCATAAATACAATATTTACCAAAGTTTAGATATTGATTTCATGAAGTACACATTATAAACTAATGACATAACATATTGAGGTTAAATCATGAAAATCTCACTCATGTTCAACCTCAGTGCATTGACAAATATTAAAATAAATTATGTTTTCGTCAAAGGCTTTTCTTGTTTGTATACAGATTTAATATTGTTAAATATCCAGTTCTCCACAGATTGAATTTATATTTAGTATAATTCCAGTTAAAATACCAGCAGGCTTTCTTGACAAGATAATTCTAAAATTTGTATGGAAATACAAAGGATTTAGAAGAGCCAAAATAATCTTGAAAAATAAGAGTGAAGTTGGAAGATTTTTACTCTGTGATTTCATATAGGCAAATAGTTGAATAGAACAGAATGAAGAATCCACCTACACTCCTCCTCAAATACAACAAAGACACCAAGGGAACTCTGTGGAGAAAGAAAAGTTTTTAACAAATCATCCTGGAACAACTGGATATCCTTTTTTTTTTTTTTTAAAAAAAGACCTATGTCCTCTACCTCCCTCCACACAAAAAATTTACTCAAAATGGTTCATAGACTCATGAAAGCTAAAATCATAAAGCCTTTTAAAAAGAATATTTTCATGTCCTTGGGATAGGAAATAATTTGATACAGAAGACACAAAAACTGTAACTATAAAGGGAAAAAGTTGATAGTTTGACTTTCACCAAAATTAAAAAACTTCTGCACATTAAAAGACAACATGAAAAAAGGAAAAGGTAAACCACAGGCCAGGAGAGAGAATTCAGAACACATACATCTGAAAACTTGTATCATTGTATAAAAAGCATTCCTACATATCAATAATAAAAAGATAATCAACCCAAGTTTTTTAAAAAAGACTTGAACTGACACTTCACAAAAGAAGACTTATATATGGTCCAATATGCATATGAAAAATTAACCAACATAATTAGTCACCAGGGAAACTAAAACCATAATGAAATACCACTTCATACCCACTGGAATGGTCAAAATTAAAAGACTGGCAATACTAACTGTAGTTGATGATATGCAGCAACTGGAATTCTCATATATTTAAGATGCAAGAGTGAAATGGTCCAACTACTATGGTAATTTCTTATAAAATTAAACCTATACCTACCCTAGATCCCAGTAATAGAACTCATAGGTATAATACATATACACAAGAGAATTGAAAGTATGTCTACAAAAATACTTGAACAGGGTGTTTATGGAAGCTTTATTTGTAAGAGCCCCCGAAATGGAAACAACCCAAATCTCCAAAACAGGAAAATAGTAAATATATTGTGTAATAGTAAACATATTGTGTAATATTCCTACAAAGGAATACTACTGAGCAATAAAAAGGAAGAAATTACTGATATCAACAACAAATGGATAAATTTCACAGACATGACATTAAGGGAAAAGAAGCTATACACCAAAGAGTATATACTATATAATTCCATTTCTATGAAGTTTAAAAGTAAATAAAGCTAACCTATGGTGGTAGGAATCAAAAGAGTGGTTGTCTTGGGGCAAGTCTTGAGGGAGATAGGGCTTAACTGGAAAGGAACACACGAGTGCTTTCTGGGTTGATGAAATGTTCCAGATCTTGATTTGGGTATTGGTTACATGGATGTATACATTTGTCAAAATTCATCACTGTACATTTAATATTTATGCATTTTGGTAAGTGTAACTTATACCAGAGAGAGGCTGAGAGACAGAGAGAGAGGGTGCCCATTTACAGATTTATGGTCAGTGTCACTAGAGGAAGAAGAAATGCACACAATTGATCAAATTTCTTCCCACTAGAGGAACTGCTACTTCTTATTCAGACATCTGAGCAAGCTAGACCCCAGAAGCACTAGCCATACTGCAGAGCATGCCCCATCTCCTCATTATTGTTTTGCTCAGTAATACAGTAGTGAATGCCATAAATGGGCTTTTATTGGTGAAATTAAGCAGCTTTTCAATTGGCATGAGGGTTAGAAATGGGCTCTTAAAAATGGAATGTTCAAGATATCTAAGCTATTTTAGAGTCACTCTCTACTTTGCATGAAATGGGTACCAAAATCTAACAAAGCCTATAGCTTGTGCACTTAGAGATGGGGTCTAAGACTTGACCCCCAGATGGTCCTGTGTCCTGCTTAGGAGGAGCTCTGGTTGCCTGATGCTGACTACAATGTTTATAGAATCCTGCTTCTGTACTGCCATTGCATATACCTCTGGTGAATCTTTCACGAACCCCAAAGCTCAGCAAACTCGTGGTATAACTGCTTGGACATGTTGACGAATGCATGTTTGTTTAGTAAATGTCCACATGTTTGGTCTGAGTTCTGCTTTCATCATAGCCTGGTATCAGTATTAAGGTTGTGGGGGACTGACTAGCTAGAGTGGCTAACCCTTATTAAGGTAGCTACTCTTATTTATTAACAGTTGCACATGACCCAATTTGCTTAGTTTAATTTGCAACAATACCTTTTCTCTTCAGCTACAGTCAAGGATGAGAAGGACATTCAGAGTCTGAGATTTTGGCAAAATAGGGAATTTCAACTTCTGTGCATGTTTCACATTCTTTTATTTTCTGTTAACTACAATTTTCATTCCAATACCCTATGTTAAGACTTTCTAGATAACGGACAGCAAGATTGTCAGTCTACTTGCATATATTTCCAGGGAAGCTAGGAAAAGGGAAATATGCCAGAAAGACAAAAGCTCATCGAATGACAGAGGCACACTTGGGAACCAAATGTCCCATTTAGGCCTGACAATCAACCACTGATGTGCTTTGGGCTGAGTTACCTCCTTCTCTCGATTGAAGTTCTCAAAGGCAGCACTGTAGGAGTAATTTATTCTCTCCTTTTCTTCTTCTGACTTTAACCCAAACTTTTTTGTCATCTTATTTTCTGTGGAGGTGAGAGGAAATCACATAAATGTGTACATGTGGGAAAAACAGATGCAAAGAGAAAACCAGAATATCTGAAGATAATAGAAAGCCCAAACTGGGTCAAACTAAAGGTCCTTTCAACCTAATGTTCAGCCTCTGATGGGCACCTGGAGATGCTTGAGAGTGAGGTCAGTGCCATGGTGGCTCTCAGTCACAGCAGCCCTATGGGATTTAGCTCTAATGTCTTTGCTTCTTTTTGTGCAGTTTATTATGAATCTGTTGCTTATTATTTTGTTTATTCCCTCTGCTGAAGTAACCACTACACCTTCTTAAATATCCTTGTCTTAAAATACAGCTCTTGGGGGCTGGCCGAATGGCTCAGTTGGTTACGAGTGTGAGCTGTGAGCAACAGGGTCACTGGTTCGATTCCCACATGGGCCAGTGAGTTGCGCCCGAGTTGAGCTGCTGCTGAGCTGCCAACAGGTGGCAGGATGGCTCAGCTGGTGAGAGCACGTGTTCTTAAGAACAAGGTTGCCAGCTCGACTCCTGCATGGAATGGTGGGCTACACTCACCCACAACTAAGCTTGAACACTGCACTCAAGTGGCAGCGAGCTATCAGCAGGTGGCCGGATAGTTACTGGACTTGGAGCTGAGCTAGCTGTGCCCTCCACGGCTAGGGATGAAGGACAACAACTTGGCTCTTCCCCAATTCTCCAACACTGTTCTCCTTCCCCAGTTAAAAAATAAAAAATGTAGCTCTTGGCTAAGGTGACTTTGGTAGCAATAACATTCATTCTGTACTTAGCCCTGGGGTAGAGGTAGGCTTAAACAATTTTTTGGCTGGGGAACAGGGGACCCTGCCAGCAGAGACCCAATACTAACCAGGAGAAAGGCGGGGTAAGCAGCTAACACAAATTTCTTAGTGCTGGGGATGGATAAGGAGGCAATTCCTGGGCTCACAGGGTAAGTCTAGACTAAGCTACATTCTGAACAGCTAAATTCTGCTCTTCCAAACTGGCTATAACATCTTAATTGAAACTTTGACAACATGGGACAAGTGTAGAATGAATAGGTGGGAGTCTGGGAGATGACTTGGGCTATGCTGCACCAGGATTCTAGGTAAAGCCTCACACAGGAGCAGCACTGTGTTCCATCCCCCAGATCTTAGCTCCAGGGTCTTCATGCTGCTACCTTGGAGCCATCCAGCATCCCCACTGAGGTGGAAATGGCCTTAAGGATTAACTTTTCCAGGGACATTGCATTTAAATGAGAAATTTATTAAAAATCAACTAAATCTGATGTGAATTGGGTTGGGGTGGGATGTGGAATAGGTTTGTAGAGGCCCCATTCCTACCTCAACCAGTCCTCTAGGTCAGGGAGCAGAGTCTCTATAAATTCCTCTCTCCTTTTTCCACTATCGAAGATGCTCAGTGGGACTAGGAGGCTCACCTACAGAGCACTTTGTATCAGCTAGCACTGTGCTAAGTGTTCGAAATATTAAAAATAAGTAACAAGGGCTGATCGAGTGGCTCAGTTGGTTAAGAACTCGCTCAAGCGTGCAAGCTCTGAGCAACAGGGTTGCCAGTTCAATTCCCAGCCCGAGCTGAGCTGCCGCTGAGCTGCCAACAGGTGGCAGGATGGCTCAGCTAAACAAACAAACAAAAAATCCCAAAACAAACAAACAAACAAATATATATAAATATACACATATATATAACAATATGTAAACATATCAAATTATGTTGTACACTTTAAACTTACTCAATGTTATGTATCAATTATACCTCAATTAAAGCATATATGCATATTTCAAACATGGCTTCCTTTAGGGTGGGAATATAGAAGCTATCAGTACAATAGATTTAGCTGCTCTTCCTTAAGAATTGAATATTGAAACTCTAATTCAAGAGCTTTTTTCTTGGAACTTCGGGGTCATCTGTATCCAGATGACAAGTCTACATTCCTACATGTGTCCCAAAGCTGGTTCCAACTTATGGTGGCCAAACTTGGAACCGGTGAGTTTTGGAAGATGCAGGCTTAGAATCTCAGGTGGCCGAACTTCATAAAAGACTCCATTCTTGTTGTCACTTTCTTGAAAACTCCAGGCACCTTCCATCCAGTCACCAGCCATGTGGCTCACCACACTTAGCGAATCCAAGGCTGCCTTCCTTGAGTTGAGACTGAACTTAACGACAGTCTTTTGGTGCACCTGTCATCAAGAAGTCAGAAGTTTCTGTACTCACTTTGCCGTAGCAGGATCTTTTCCCACTCCATCTGCTCATTCTTCTCCCATTCTGCCTTCTTCCTCAACCACTTATCTTCCATTTCATCATAAATGCTGTCCTGTGGAAGCACGAAGGCACCATGAAGAAAAAGCGTCCTGAAAAAGGCTGCACACTGCCCAAGGCACAGCACTGGGCTCTTTGCAGCTTCCATCACCTGAGACCCTTGCTGAGGGGCCCCATTTGGGTGACTGGTGGAAGTAAATTCCAGCTCAGCCCCCTGAAAGCCTGCAGAACCTACAGTCAGACTCGGCACAGTGTTTGCCCACTTGAACCAAGTTTCCTTTGAAGACAGGTAGGGTTCCCCATGTTGAAGATTCACATGTCAGCTCCCTCTAAATCATGAATCACTTATAAATAGCACATGAAGAAACAAGAGAAATGTCGAGTAGTTAATTTGAACACTTAGAAAACAATAGACTGTTTTTCATAGTGTCCATTTTCCACAACAAATCTAACTCCCTTTGTGGCTGAGGTTAAATAGCCTAAAACAAAGTTAGGGCAAAAATTCTTGCTGGGAGATAAGAGAGTAGGAGGTGGGTGTGGACAGGGAAGGGCTGAGGGAGCAAGCTCTCATCCTAGCGTGACCAACTAATTCCGGTTCGCCCAGGACTTTGAGGATTTAGCACTGCAAGCCAAGATGCCAGCCCTTATTGTTTGGCTCAGGCTCCATGAGTGTGAAACCTCAGGAGGGAGCTGGCTCAGGACCAGGATGCTGCGAGTAAGGTCTCAGAATCCTGACACCCTTCCTTGTCAGGTTAGCTGCAGAGTTCACACTGGGCCTGGGCATCAGAGCTCGTTTATAATTGTTTGTGGCCATTTAAATAGGGTTCTCTCTCATTATTTTCATGACTAGGGCGTAGATTTGTTTCTACGGAGGTCAAACTCTCTGGAGAGGCCCAGATTGAAGCAAACACAAAGTATACCTGGAAAATGGGGGCAGCTAACCTGCTCATCGACCTGATGCTTCTCTTAGACTCTGTTCTATGACGTTGTTTCCTGACTGTATCAAGGTACATCTTGAAAAATGAGTTTTGGGTATAAGCTCAGAACTAAAACTGTGAATGGTAAACCAAATTTCAGAGGCAGTGCTGGTGCTTAACTTGGTTTCCTCCTTCGATAGGGTGATCAAATGTCCTTGTTTGCCTGGGACTGAGTTGTTTCGTGGGACTCCAGGCTTGCAGTGCTAAATCCTCAAAGTCCTGGGCAAACCGGAATTAGCTGGTCACGCTAGGACGAGGGCTTGCTCCCTCAGCCCTTCCCTGTCCACACCCACCTTCTACTCTCTTATCTTCCAGTAAGAACTCTTGCCCTAACTTTGTGTCCCTGGACCTCCATCCAATTAGCTGGTTAAATGAATGGGTTTTGTTCTGAGATGGCTAGAGCACTCGCACGTTTTCCTTGTGTCAGTAGTAGGTGCAGAGCAATACAGGTCTTTCTGGACAGCAATTTGGTCAAATGTATCAAAGGCCTTTACAATGGTTATTCCTTTTGATCTAGCACTCTACTAAAATCCAAGATGTCACAAAGTACAAATATTAACAGCAGCTGTCTTGGGGTGGTGATAGTTCTTTCTTTTTGTTGTTGCTGTTTTTGGTTTTTCATTTCAATCTTTTAAAAAACAATGAGCAGGTATTACTTTTGTAATTACAAACATATTTTTCAGTGGGCTTGTTTAGGGTCTGGGTGACTGACTTATCACTCATGAAAGCTATCACAGTTTGCAGGTTCACTCTTCTCCCTGGACGCAGTTAGTGCCGCTTAGGTCCAAGGATGCTGTTGGGAATCTCAGGAAATTACGTCCTGGGCCAGAGCTCTAGATTCATCCCAACCGTCATCAGCCAGGGATGAGCTTTGCTTCTCTTACTCTCATAATCCACCAAGGAACTCTGAATCTCACCTGATACATATGAAACATACTCTTCAAATACTTATATTCCTTTTCCATCTCCTCTGGACAAAAGGAAAACAGGGTATCATTATTGCTCTGAAATGCACATTTTCAAATTCAAATGTGAGGTCTCCTGCACACTTTCCCCACCTCAAACTCATCCCCTAGTTGGTGACACCGTGGTGTGCCTCAGAAATCACTCTGGAAGCTTATTAGAAACTCAGATGCCTGGACTCTACCCTAAACCTACTGAATTGAGCTCTCAGAGGAGAAGCCAGGTATCTGTTGATAATATGCTTCTCAGGCAATTCTGATGAGAACTAATCTGAAGAAGTCTGAGAATGAATTCCCAGGGTAAACTTGTATCTTTGGAAGAAGAGGACCAAAACCTTGTAGCATGCACCTGCCTCACTCTTTTTAAAATCACATTTCCTAGTGCACATTGATTTTGAAAACAATACATGCTCTCTTTAAAAAGCTAGGAAATCAGCGAGGTGTAAATATCATCTTCTAAAAGTGCAAGGCAGGGGCCGGCCGAGTGGATCTTGGTTACGAGCTTACTCAAGAGTTCGAGCTCTGAGCAACAGGGTCACTGGTTCGATTCCTGGCCCAAGCTGAGCTGCTGCTGAGCTGCCAACAGGTGGCAGGATGGCTCAGCTAAAATAAAATAAAATAATAAAAGTGCAAGGCAAAAGAAAGGGAGAACATTATAGAATTTCTCCTCTTTGTGGAGATTAGCCTATAAACTCAGAATTCTGAAGAAGACACACTTTTGTCTTCTCAAAAGCAGCACAAACCATGGGATAAAAGGCCAACACAACGCTTTTAAGTGATAAGGCCCCACAAATCATAGGGTGTCAGATTTAATGAAATATCATCATTTTGCAGGAGGAAACTTACTGAATTAGAATAGTATTATATTTGTAGAATTTTTAAAGTTTTGTTTTACATTCTTGTCATTCTGATAAAGGCAGATGAGGAAACTGAGACTTGGGATTAAGGGACTTGCTCAGATCCCAAAACTTGTTTGCAGGTCCTTCTATCTTCTGGGTGCAGGAAGGACATTGGTAGACATGGCTTACCTCTTTTCAGTTTCATTCTCAAGCAGTCCCTCTCCCTGAGCTTTAGGAGGAAATCTTTAATCTAACTATTACTCACCCATGGCCATGAGAGTTTCTCAGCCCTAAACCCACATGGTCAGCCTCCTGCCCCTTCACCATGGTCATTCTTCCAGGTCCAAACGTACCTAGTTTTTCCTGGGCAGCCAACTTCTCTGCCTCTAAGGCTGCTTTGTAGTTATTCTCCAACTCAGTGAGCTCTGCTGCATGAGCCTCTTTGAGCTCCCTTTGGGACCCCAAGAGAAAGCCACAATCGTCAGTGAAAAAGAGTCCAGAGCTGAGCAGTTACATTCACCTGAGCTCACTTCTCCCTCACACAGGAAACCAAGGGGCAGGCTGTGGGGCCCTCACTTCCTCATGCGTTCTCCTGGCATTTATCCAGAAAAGGGGGAGAGGACTCTTATTTTCACCAATTACTATTTTGAATGGAGCGTTTTGGTGCCATAGACACTTCCTAACAGCACGGTTTTTGCTTATGGCTCTCTTGGGAAACTATGGACTGCATTAGCTCCCAACATAATTTTAGAGCCCAAGGTCTCTCAGCCTCTATTCCAGTGTTCAAGGTGAATGTTAAAATGAAAAGCTCTATGAGCTGTCAAGCCCCCAAAAAGACATAGAGGAACCTTAAATGCATATTAGTAATTGAGTGTAGTCAATCTGAAAGGGCTGTGGATTCCAACTATATGGCATTCTGAAAAAGGAAATACTGTGGAGACAGACAAAAGAGCAGTGGTTGCCAGGGGTTTAGAGGGGAGAGAGGGATAAATAGGCAGATCACAGAAGATTTTTATGGCAGTGAAACTATTTGGTATGATACTATAATAGTGGATACATGTCATTATACATTTGTCAAAACCCACAGAATGTTTTGACAACACCAAGAGTGAACCCTAATGTAAACTATGGACTTTGGGTGATAATGATGTTCAATTGCAGGTTCATCGATTGTAACAAACACACCATGGTAGTGCGGGATGTCAATAATGGCATAGGTTGTGCGAGAGTGGGGCAAGGGGGCTATGGGAAGTCTCTGTGCTTTAGGCTCTATTTCACTGTGAACCTAAAACTATTCTAAAAAACGAAAGTTTATTATAAAATAAGTTAATTAATTAATTGTTCTAAAATAAATATGTTCATTAATTAAAATTTTGTTTTTTTTTAAAAAGCAAATTTATGACTCAGGAGGACTTCTCTCCATCCTGGCTTATGAGGCTGCTCTGGTGTCTGTAGGTGGTGCAAAGGGGATTTTGTGGGTTCCCTCTCCCACACAGACAACACACCTCCTTTTATTTCCCCTTCGTTTGTCCCTGTGGCTCTGGCTCCTGAAAGCATACCTGTTCTTGTTTTCAAATGTCTGTTGCATCTCAGCATAGCGGCGATCCATTTCATTGGAGAGCTGGAATTGAAGTCATCAGCATTAGCAACACAGGATTGAGGACCCCGCTCCCACTGCAATCTGCAACTTCTGAGAAGCCTTCCCATTCAGGAAGTACACCCCACTCCCCATGCCTCTCCATTATTACTGAGGGAACAGAACAATTCTTGCCTTGCTCTGTGTTGTTTGGTATGTAATCAGTTCATAATGTTGGTGCACAGAAACCACCTCTGTGACTACATGGTTTTGTGAGCAGGTCTGCTCTCCTCTGCTGGACTGTAATCTCTTTGTGAGAGTATGGCCTTTGGACTCTCAGATATGTAATTCAATTGAACAATCATTTCTTGAGAAAGGGCTTGGCCTAGAAGAGCCAATGAGACCTAAGTCTCAGACTCTGCCTTCAATGAACTTAAAACCCACTGTTAATAAATCCTTGTTGGCAGAATGGTTTGTTCGGCAGGCAGGATTTGCTCACTTCCTGGTAACCATCCATTCTAACACATCAGATGCTCTGGCCAGTGTCTCAGGAAGAATGGCCACTTCCAAACTTGTCAGCACCCACTGCCAGCTGAGACAAGGGTTCAGGGCTTATTCTTGCTCCTCTCTGACTAAACAGTGGCACTAGAACTCCTCTCTTCCACAGGGTCACACAATAATTTGTGGTGTTCACAGGTGGGAGGATCACATTCTGAGGTCTGTCCCTGGAAAGAATCTCTAATTATATCTTCAGCAGGGCTGATGCTTCAGTGAGTGAAAATGTGCATTTTGCCCAATAACACACCACTGATGAGGTAAGCGATTTTAAGATAATGCTTTAACTTCCTCTGTTTCCTTTCTGTAGAGGAAAACCATAAACCTGGCAGACTTTTCAGATAAATATAATAATGAATCAATAGTAGGGGAGGGCTCAGTCTGAGTCATAAACTGGGTCACTGTAGGATTAAGAAGCATCTGGGGCATATCAGAGGGTGAGGGGTGGGCCTACTTGAAACCAACCTTCACAAGTGGGTTTCAATAACAACAAGCAAGTATATGTTTGAGTGTGCGTGTGTGTTGTGTGGGGGGTGGGGTAGGATGTTTCTCATGATTGGTCTGGCTTATCATTCCAGCCCAGGCCAGCAGGCACACCTGTTCCAGGTGGGGAAGAAGAGACTATGAGAAAACAGATGGTAAAATCTAAAGGAGGTGTCACCAAAATCCCCAGGAAACAGAGTGCAGTCGACCTCAGCAGAAACAGAAGTGTAGGCTCTGGTAATTTCAACAGCAACAGGAAGTGGACACTGGGTAGTTTTTGAGCAACACTGGAAGCACTGACCACGCTGGTGCCCTAAGCAAGAGCCTCTGTGACCCCTGTAGCTTAACTCTCCATGAAGGCCTCTGCAGACCCAATGGGAAATTGCTGGCGCCTTTTTGTGTGGAGAGGTCATTGGCATTGAATGAACCAGAGGCACTATGAGAACTTGCAGAAATTGAGTTAGGCCTTGAGGAGGAACTTGAGTTCTTGCAATTATAGATGAGGATGGAGACAGAAATACTACTGGGTGACCATCTCCAGAGCTGTCGCCAGGACAGCTCCCCTGAGTCAAGTGGTTGGCATCATGCCTGGCACATAGCAGGTGGTCTGAAAATATTGGTCTTTTCTCTATCGAGAGATGTTGGCTAACTCAAAGATCACTCACCAATTTTTCGACAGACTGGTGGTCTCTGTTCATTTGCTCTATTATTACCATCAGTTCTGAGATCTGTTCTTCTAGATCAGTAATGATATCAGTCCTATGGGATAAGAAATTCTTTAATCACCCACAGAGCTTCCATGTTGTGCCAGTGAGGTCCTTCCCTGGTCAGAGCCAGGCCACGTCCTGCACCTGCTCTGCCATCGCTGGGGTGGGGGTGTTGGGGTGGAAGGGTGGCTTGGAAGAAGGAATTTGGCAGTAGGGTGGTTGACCCTCAGGCATGGTGAGCTAACCAGAAGTGAGCTGGAGTGGTTTGGTGGCCTATGAATAGCAGGGAAAGAGGAATGTCAGAAATCTATTAGGGTTTGACCTTGATTTGATAGTGAAAGTTGAAATGGGGGATGGAGAAGTTTAGAAAATTAGGAAATGAGAAAGTGGGGCATAGGATTGATGCTAACAGTGAATCATAGGCAAGAAATGGTCCAGAACTGGATGAGGAGGGGATTTAAGAGAGTGGCTTTCAGAATTGTTAAAGATTTTCTGGTTTCTGGGCCTGGGGCCTCCATATGTCTATAAGATTCTTCAGCTCTATTTGATTGAGCTGGATGGACAGGGTGGCAGGCAGTGCTGTGTTCAGTGCAGCACAGAAGATGTCCTCGACTCAAGAAGGTGAGAAAACAAGAGGATGTAGGAGGAGAGGGCATCCAGGTATGAGAAAGAAGAAAGGGTATGAGAAAGCTGAACAATAGGAACTCCCATCTTTTGAACATGATCTTCAGTATAAACAATACTCACAGCTTTACCAGGGAATAAAACAAGCATGTGCTATTTTGTTTTATTATGCTACAACTGGTGACCACTTTCTTATGAGGGCCAAGAGGTAGTTGAGGTTGCGGTGGGCTTGCCTGTGGGTGCACAGTCCATCTCCTCCTGCAGAGGGCCGTGAGTGAGCAGAGTGAATGTCCCCACTGGAGGGAAGACTGGGACTGGAGTCTGGTTTCTCAGGGTGACTTCACGCGTGAAGTGGACTCACTCAGCTGTGGGCATATGTGTTCTTTAGCCTCATTTCCAGTCTGAATCCCTTCCCAACTGAAACCACTGCTAACGGTTTGGTTGTATCCTTTCTGTACATTTACAAATAGGTAGGTGATATGTGTGTTTGTGTGTGTTTTCTGTTGTTATTGTTGGTCTTTTAGATTTCTGTCCTGGAAAAATAATTTTCAGAGCAATTTAAAGCCCAAGGAAGAGACACCCATTGGGAAGCCATTGCAATAGTGCAGGCAGGAAGTAACAGATGGGGAAGGAGAAGATATGAATGAGAGATTCAGGAGGTAGAATGAAAAGGAGGTGGGGACTGCCTTTACATGGCATTAGAGCATAGAGAGCGGGAGGGACTTGAATGACAGAGAAGATGACAGTGTGTTCAACTGGGATGGAGTCAGGCTAGAATTTTCCATGCCGTATCTCTCAGAGGCATGAACTAAGTGGTACCTTCGGACAAAATGAAAAAGAGATGCATACTTTGGCCTCCTAGAAACCCTGACTTTACTTTTAGTTCTCACCCTCCAAATTTGGACTATTTTATGACTATTTCATCTGTTCGTTACTTCCGGAAACAATTGCTCTCCTTTAGTATGAATTACACTATACCTAATCATTTTCCTGATCAGCTACTTGATTTGACCATCTTCCTGACTAGAAGGGGATTGGAGCAGGATGATGGGTTGAGAGGAGACAGTACTGAGCTGAGGCATGAAGTAACCTTGCAACACCTCCAGAGCAACACCCAGTCATATAGACCAGGCATGGACGTTAGGGCTTGTCCTTGAAGCCAGGCCCAGCCAGGCAAGGATAGGTTTGAGGAGCTAGGTATTGGTCCAAACACATTACCTGGAAATTTTGATTTTGTCCATGATCTCTGATCTCTTTTTCCTATCAAACATCTCATCTCCCAAGGCAACGGAAATCTGCTCCCTATTCCGAATGAGGCGATAGCCAGGTGACACGTTGATCACTTCCTGGGCATCAAGGTGTAAGATAAGACAATGTTGCAGACTTGGAGTGCTGAGATTCCTCCAAATCTTCTACTAGTACCCTACTCACATCTAAAAACAGAGACATGAGATGGGAGCCCACGTTCTTTCTGTGCCCTCCCCCAGATCCTAGTCACCCTAGTATCTCCGGCTAAGATTTCTCTCAAGATGCAGCTGGGTCCTGGATGTCCCCATAGGCCTTTCAAACTCAACATTTGCAACCCACCGTTGCCACCCACTGTATACTCTATACCCCAGTTCCGCTCCTCCTTTGCGTTCTCCTTCATGGCCAGAAGCCAGGAGTCAGCCTGGAATTAGACAGGCCTGAGTTTAAATCCTGGTTCTGTCACCAGCCACTATTACTCAACATCTCTGTGCCTCAGTTTCATCAGAAAATAAAGATAGTAACTCTTCCTCAAAGGGATTTTGTGAGGAAAAGACAAAACAACATATGGGAAAATGTTAGCACAGTTGCAAAAAGAAAACACAAAAAAACCCAAAAACATTTTAGTTTCTCCTCCGTCCCCCACTAGATGCCAAGTCAGAAATCTGGGCAAAGCTACCAGCCAGCATAGACCAGGATAAGATTGTACCTTCCAGAGTTGTGCTGGACACCCCTGCAGTGCCACAAGTCCTGTCATTGTTATCTCCTAAATTTATCTCAATCTCAGCCTCTCCCTCACACCCCTGCCCCTGACATAGCCCGAGGCCACCATCTGTCTCTTTGGCTCCGGAGATACCATCCCAGCTGGCCTCTCTGCCTTCAGTCTGGCTCCCCTGAGTTCATCATCCTCTTTACCTGGAGGGCTATGACATATTTTTTTCCTGACCATTAAGGGACTGCATGAACTTTTTAAAAGGGGAGTTGGGGGGAAAGGAAAATAGATAAAAGTAGAAGATGGTAAAAAACACCCATTATATCCCACCAGAGGGTGTTTTTGCCTAACATGTAAATCTTACTTGGTCCTGTGCCTATATCAGACCCCCTAAAAGCTCCCAACAATGAAAGGATTAGGCCCAGTTTCCTAGGCAGATGGGGTTTGGTCCCCATCTCTTTCTCCAGCCCTGATGGTCCCTCACCCAGCATTTGTGGGTTCCCAAGTGGAGCATAAAGTTTTCTGCATCTAGGCACGTGCTGTCCCCTGGCCTGGACTGATTGTCACTGTCTGGTTTCCCTGGACACTCTCCTCGAACTACACACGGCAGTCAGGACGCAATTAATGCTCTCTCCGGGGCTGCCTGAACCGAGTTCAAGTCCTGGTCCTGCCACTTGGCAGCCATACACTATATGCAGTAATTCTAGCACCTCCTCATAGGACCATCGCAAAGATTCAACGAAGTAAGTACGTGTAAAACGCCCATGCCTGCTTAGTAGGTGATCAATAACTGTTAGTCTCCACTGACCTCTTCCCAGTTTTACTCACATAAGGCAATTTATTGCTCTCCTCTTGTTTTCCTAAATGGATTTTCACTCTGCAAGAGAAAAGCATGCTTAAAAGCAACTGGAGAGCAAAGACAAGTTCCAAGCTTAGGAGCTGAGCCCTGACCCTGCCACTCATCTGTAAAAAGTGACATTCCTGGGATAATCTCTGAGGCCCCTTTTTCAGCTCTCAAATTATTCTATGTCAGGAAATGGGGAATATTGAATGATCCAGGAATCATTGGTACACAAGTTATAATAAAATGGCAGGTAGTGAAAAAGTGGGAAATTGACTAGTCATTAGTCTAACAGTAGAGCCATTTCTGAAACAAAGGCCAAGAGGCTTGGAGTGAAGATCCAAAGGGCTCTCTGCTGAGCATGGTGCATAATCTCAAACGCACATGTTTTTTTGGTGACATGTATGTTTTCTACACAACTGTTTTTCTTTTCCAAAGCCTAGAAAACGGCTTTCCCAGAATATGTGGTCATTAAGGATTTTGCGCGGGCTTCAGACAAAGACATTCCTGGACTGTACGGTCAGCAAGACGTCCATGTTTAATATTTCCAAATTCCTACCTCACCCAGGAGCCAGTCAGGAGCTGGCACAATGACCACATGTTATAATAATAAATCTTAGCTGCCAACCTAAAAACTTCAGGGTATATAACCCCAAGTCCCGCCTGAATTGGGGCTCAGCCTCTGGATGTAAATCCGCTGAGCCAGTGCCAGCATTAGTAAAGGTTGCTTCCCACGCCTTGGTGTCCTGTCTCTTTGTTTGGATTCCCCGCAACAGTACCAGAAATCGGTGTTCCGGGACCCTGAAATTGCCGGTTAAGTGAATTCAGGATAAGCAAAGAGTGCTACTATTTTGAAATCTGGTGCTAACCCAGATCATAATTAATTTTTGTTTTTAGGTACAAGAAACATGAGCATAATATCAGTTACCCACATATCAAAAGGATATTTATAAGGGAGTTCACTGGGAAGGTGGCAAGATTAGAATAAGAGTAACTAGCTTTTGATGTGCTGACAAGAATAGGTAGGCTTAGGGCCTCTCCCCTTGTCCTCAACATACACTCACACCTGTACACATACCACCAGGCAACTGCTGTGAAGAGAGAAAACCAACACCTGCTGTAGAAGTTCCATTTCTCCATGATCAAAACAACCACAATATTATTAAAGGCTGTGGAGTTGGTTACCAGGGTGGGACTGGTCCAGGGTCTGTGGGTAACTCTGGGTGTGGGGAATGGGGTTGGGAGGACTTTACCTGATGGAAGCAGTTCCATCTTGGTTAATAACCATCAGACATAATTCACAGCTGAGATTGTCTGTTTGAAGCCTGAAGCCCGCGGAAAACGCTGACTGATGAACAGGTTATCAGTGACTCCATGTGGAGGTCGTGTTAGCGTCTACCTGAGCCCCTTCCTGAGAGGGAGGCCAAGACCAGCCGGCCCTCCTGTACCTGGCTGCTGCATTTCCCAGCCCCGCTCAGTGCTGCCTGGACAGGGCTTGGAGGCCAGCTGCCATGTAGCCCCAGGAGAGGTTACATTGACCATGTGTGTCTGCTTTGAGTTGGTTTTAGAGGATGGCACGTTTCAGAATTTGCCTTGAAGGGTTTTACTGGAAAGTTATAAACACAATTAGCAGATCTTTGATAGAGAATTTAAAAAACAGCCACAGGGCCGGCCAAGTGGCGCGATGGTTAAGAGCTGGCTTGGGACGCCACAGGGCCCCGGTTCGGATCCCACATATGAGGGCCGGTGACAGTGCCTTCTACAAAAAAAAACACAAAAAACAAAAACAACAACAACAACGACAAAAACAGCCACAAAGTGTCTCTCACTGTATTTCAAAGCCAGAGGAGAATGGTGTTGGCAGGGGCTAATGTTGTTGGTCAGACTGGAGTTGTGGGTGTTAGGGAGGTTGCTCCCAGCAAGAGGCACTGGGTGACTGAGTCCTCCAGCGTGCCTGTTAATATGGAGGTTAGGTGAGACCCACAGGTGTGATTGTGCCCGCAGGGCGCCAGCACACAGAAGGCAGGCAGGCAGGAACCGTTTCACTCACACAGCCATTCAGTGGATCCCTCTCACGATCAGGCTTTGCCACCACCAATCCACTGAAACAATCTCCTTCATTGTCACCAAGCTGCGGGCTGCTAAATCCAACAGTATTGCTCAGCAGCCCTCATCTTAACTGACTTATTATCAGCGGTTTTTAACACAGATAACCAGACCTTCCTTTTTGGAACATTTTTGTCATTTTGCTTCCAGGACTCCAGGTAGACAACTCCTCATCTGCCTCACTGGCCACTCCCTCCCAGTCTCCTTTCTGGGTCCTCTTCGCCTCTCCCACCTCTCAACACTGGAGTGCTCTGGGGCTCAGTTCTCTCACCTCTTTCTCCCTCTCTCTCCACTTCTTGCCTTGAAGATCTCACCTGAGTGCAGGGTTCTAAGGACCAAGTATATGCTGATGACCCTCAAATGTGTATCCAAAGCCCAGACCTCTCAGGCTTGCTCAACCAACTACTGACTTGACATTGCTACTTGGATATTAAGAGGCATCTCAAACTTCCTAAGCTCAGTTCCCAGCATATGTGGCCTTCCTTCAGTCTTTCCCAACCTTAGAAAATGGCAACTCCATCCTGCCTGTCGCTCAGCCAAAGCCTTGACTCCTTCTCTTGTTTTTTTTCTCTCGTACTTTATATACCTATCCCATTAGCAGATCTTATTGGTTTCTACCTTCAAAATACATCCAGAGTGTGACCACTTCGCACCACCTCTACTGTCTCCACCAGGTTCAATCACCATGTCCCTTGCTTGGATCTTGCAATTAGATCTTATCTGTTCTCCCTTGCCTTCTCCCAAAGCTTCTACCCTTGACCACTGCAGTCATTTCTCAACACAGTCACCAGATTAGCCTTTTCAAAATGCAAATTGGGTCACGACACTCTTCTCAGAATCCTCTGATGGCTTGCCAGATGTAATGGGCTAAGTTGTGTCCCCTTCAAATTCATATGTTGAAGCCCTAACTCCTGGTGTCTCAGAATGTGACTGTATTTGGAGATAAGGCCTGTAAAGAGGTGACTAAGGTAAAATAGGCCATTAGTGTAGGCCCTAATCCAGTCTTACTGGTGTTCTCATCAGAGAGATGAGGACACACCAAGAGACCCCAGGGATGCACATGCACAAAGGAAAGACCATGTGAAGAGGTAGCAAGTGGGTGGCAATCTGCAAGCTAAGGAGAGAGTCCTAAGAGAAAACCAACTTGCCAGCACATTGATCTTGGACTTCCAGACTCCAGAACTGTAAGAAAATAAATTTCTGTTGCTTAGGCCACTCGGCCTTTTGTTGTTGTTGTTGTTGTTGCTGTTGTTGTTGTTGTTGTTGTTGTGTTGTCATGGCAGCCCTAGCAACTGAGTCACCATCCCTTTCACAGTAGGACCCAAAGTCCTTACAGTGGCCAGCAAACTTCACTGTGCTGCTGTAACAAATTACTACAAGCTTAGTGGCTTAAAACAACACCAATTTATTATCTTACAATTTTAGACGTCAAAGTCTGCAGTGGGTCTCCCTGGGCTGAAATCAAGGTGTTTGCAGGGTCATATTCCTCCTAGAAGCTCTAGGGAAAACTGTGTCCATGCTTTTTCCAGCTTCTGGAAGCTGCCTCTTCCTAGTAGCTTTTCCCTCTATCTTCAAAGCTAATAGCTGCATTGCTCTGACCTCTGCTTCTATTGTCACATCTCCTCTGACTTCCTTTCATATGTAAGGACCTTTTTGTTTACAATGGGCCCCCCCCCCCCAGATGATCTAGAATAATCTGCTCATCTCAAAGTCAGCTGATTAGCAAACACAATTCCATCTGCAATCTTATTCTCCCCTTGGCAAGTAACAGGACATGGTCTGTTTCCAGGGATTAGGATGTGGACATTTTTGGGGGACCATTATTCTGCCAACCACATTCATCACCCCATTTACTTCTTGGAGCTCATCTCCCACCTCTCTCTTCTCACTTCCTCCATTCCCACCACACTGGCCTCATTTGCTTTTCTGGAAAAGGCCAGAAGTGCCAAGCAATTTCCTATTTACAGCCTTTGTGCTTGCTGTTCTTTCTGCAGGCATGCTTGCCCCAGATGTCAGTGGGACTCCTGCTGTCTTCTTTGCACAGGGACGTTCCCTGGGCTCCCCATGTCAAATAACTGTAAGTTCCAGGAGAGCAGAGACTTCGGTGTGTTCACTGCTGTGTCCCACACTTGAAACAGTGCCTAGCAAAAATAGGTGCTCAATAAAATGTTCCAAATAAATAAATAAATGGAATACAAAGACTCATGCAAAGACATAAAACTAAGTTACACTTCTAAGCTTATAAAATATGGGTAAAAATTTAAATTTATGGGTAAAACAGAGTTCTAATTTACAAAAGTTCTTAGACACTGGAAAGGGTGAGCCACCACCAATGGGGGGCTCTCTGCCTACTACAGGCATAGAGCATTGTGCCCATTTAGGGCCCGAAACAGTTGGCAGGGGCACCTTAGCTGAGAGTTCATTTGTAGTGACTTTGAAAGCTGTGGGTGCCGAGGGCCACAGAACCTACATGTAGGATCTGAGGTTTGGGGGAAATCACGGTGGGTTCTGGCAACCCCCTCATATTCCTGGCACAATGAGTTCAAGTCAGTCAAGGCTGTGAAGGCAAAGGAGGGAGATTGTTTTATTTACATACCTCAAACCATTTCTGCCCCATGGACATGAAAATACTTACTTTGGGGAGGCAACAGCTTTTGTTCTTGGTTGGTCATAATTTTGTTTTTTTGAAGGTGGAGGGAGAGGAGTTAGCCTGAAAGTAAAAAAATAAATAGCAAAAAAGAGAAACTTGGAGACCCAGAAATGTGTTTTAGTACTCCCAAATTAGGTGGGTCCCCACAGTGACCCAAAATTGGAATGTATGAGCTGAAAGCAGGAATCTTTAAAATGAGGATGGTATTTGGCAACCTTAGGCCAAATGCCTTGCCACTTGTTCACTGTCCTAGGGGGTCCCCGGGTTGGTAGCACAGTGTGTCCCCCAGGTCCAAAAGCACTTGGTCTCACCTGGAGGGGCCCACCTGCCATGGGGCTTTTGGGCTGGAAGCCCCTCTTTCCCTGTTGCACTAACTCTGAGACCTCCTCATTTAAAATGACACTAGGCAGGACTGGCAGTACCAGGCTGGCAGGACAAAGCTGTGCAAAGGCAGGCTTCCTGGCCCTCTTGGGATTTTGCTATCAAATTGACTGTTTTGGAAATCTTTTGAGAGAAAGAAGGCTGCAAATGGAACTCAAGCCCTCGGGCCCTAGTCCATCCTGGGTAATCCTTACTGGGGCTTCCCTGTGGAGCTTTTTCTTGGTGATTGAGGGGTCTTGATTAGCTTCCGTGGTCCCAAGTTCCAGGGGTCCCAGCAGGTGCAGTAGATGACAGGGTTGGGGTACATGGCAGGAGGTCCCAGGGAGCCTTGGCTGCTAGGTCAGAAGGCCCCTGCTGAATGGAAAAACAACAGCAGAGGGTTACACCATTCGGAGTCAAAATGACAAAACTCAGAGACAAATTGGGAATGACGCAGGGAAAGCCCAAAGCACAGATGGTAGATTCTGAAAGCTTTTGATCTGGTACAGGGTCTTGACTATAGAATAATACTTCACTCCTTGCCACCTGATAGGCTTGACCTGAAAGCAATTTAAAATTTGCTATAACTGCGTGCTTACTATGAGCCAGACACACAATAAGTGATCAATTACTGTTATCCCAGTTTTACAGATGAGGGTACTGAGGTTCAGAGAAGCAAGTTGCAGAGTTGGGAACAAACACAGGTCTACCTGACTCCTAAACCCTTGCTCTTCCATCAGGTAACACTAGCTCTCACTGAAGTGAAGAGAAATCCCTACAGCCGATCCTGCACAGAACTTTCTGGAGAATTAGTTCTGTTATTCAAATTAAACTGGATCTCCCAGTTTCTCATTCCTGGTCACCTGCCAGAATTATAGTCAACACTCTTCCTTTTTGGCTCAATGAAAACAAAAACAAGAAGAAAAACAAAAATCCCTATTATGGGGCTGGCCAAGTGCCGTGTTGGTTAAGAGCTGGCTTGGGACGTCAGCTCTGAGCAGCAGGGCCCAGGTTCGGATCCCACATATGAGGGCCAGTGATGCTGTGTCCTCTACAGCTAAGATGGTGAACAACAGCTTAACCTGAAGCTGGGCTGCCATGAGTCACGGGCAACAGCGTAGGCGGTAGCCCCTGCTGCAGTGGGCTGCTGTAAGCTACTGTGTGTGGCGGCAGCCAGTGTGAGCTGCCAAGAGCCTCCGTGAGCGGCCGTCCAGAGGCTGGCGACCGACCTGCCTCACCTGGGAAGAGCGCAATGATAATACCAACATGGGCCAGTGAAGCGACGTCCTCCACAACTAGACTGAAGAACAAAAGGACAAAAACTTGTCTATTCCTCTTCCCTGGATTCCCCAGAGCTGTTCCACTCCCCCACTTCCCCAATAAAATCTTTGAAAAAAAAAAATCTTTACTAGGAAAGTTTGCATGAAAGACAGCTACCAGAAAAACACGGAGGCTTGATCGCACTTGCTCTTCTTTCTTTTTTTCCCCAGAACTGCACTGACATGAAAGCACAGGATTAAAAGAGATTGAATTCCATAAGAACAAAAAGAATGGGAGGGGAGACAGTATTACACAATATACATTTGGCAAAACTTCCTACTTAGCACACCACAGGAAGCGTGCTTGCAAAGAGGGTATAAATGAGAAGGAGCCGTTTCCCATATGAAAGCCTCCAAATGACTCAGAACTGGAACTGGTAGATTATTTGATGAAACTGATAGTGATTTCACTCTGTTGGAGCCTGTGGGTAGGTCAAATAATGCTCCTCACCCTGCCCTCCCACCCCACCCCTCGCCCCCAACCAAAAAAAAAAAACCAAACAAAAACAAACAAACAAACAAACAACAAAAAAACATGTTCTAATCCCTGGAACCTGTGAATGTTATTTTATGTGACAAGAGGAGCTTTGCATCTAAGATTAAGTTAAGGATTTTGTGATGAGGAGATTATCCGGATTATCCATGTGAGCCCAAGGTAATCACAAGTGTCCTTATAAAACGAAGGCGGGAGGGTCAGAGCCCGAGAAGAAAATGGTCAGGTAGCAGTGATCAAAGAAGCGGTCATGGGCCAAGGACGGTGGGCAGCCTCTAGAAAAAGCAAGGAAGTGATTCTCTCCTCGAGCCCAAAGAAGGAGCATAGTCCTGCCCAACACCCTGGTTTCAGCACAGCGAGGCTCATAGCTCAGATCTCTGATCACAGAACTATAAATTGGTCTTGTTTTAAGCCACTAGATTGTGGTAATTTATTACAGAGCACTTGTAATAAAAAAAATTTGGGGGGGAAATTAGCAATAGAAACACAGAAACCCAAGAAAATAAAAACTGCATAATTACTGCAGGTTAAAAACATTGTATAAAGAAGTACACATAATCATAGCAAGATACACACTTATATATATTTATGCAAACACTTAGTATTGATTTAACTGAAAAGTGAACTGTGACCACATTAAAAGATTGGGGGGGCAAGCAATGGGGAGAGGATATATAAGTGTTAAATCCTACCTGTCATACCAGGAAGTCAATAGAAAGTGTCTCAAATTGAAAAATTAACAAACGGAGTAGAGACATTATTTAGAAGCATGAAGTTAAATTCCAAAAGAACTAGCTAAAAGAGTTGAAAATAATTGTCTCTAGGGAACACACTGAGGAATAGAACTGAGAAGCAAGGAGGGGTGGGGCAGAAATTGTAACTTTTCATTAATGAATTTTTAACACGATTTGATTTTTTAAATGATGTCGGTGAATTATTTGATAAAAAAATAAAACCAACACCAAAAACATTATGAGAGCCAAGAGCCCAACAGAAGCATTATAATGACAGCTGATTTAATTCAAATTTCTAAGTCAGTGACTGGTTTCCAACACTGGAATAAATTTGCTTAAGAATCAACTAAAGAGGGGCCAGTCGAGTGGCTCAGTTGGTTAAGAGCGTGAGCTCTGCACAACAGGGTCCCCAGTTCAATTCCCACATGGGCCAGTGAGCTGCGCCTGAGCTGAGCTGCTGCTGAGCTGCTGCTGAGCTGCCAACAGGTGGCAGGATGGCTCATCTGGTGAGAGTACGTGTTCCTAACAACAAGGTTGCCGGTTTGACTACCACATGGGATGGTGGGCTACTCCCACCTGCAACTAAGATTGAACAAGGCACCTTGAGCTGAGCTGCCCTGAGCAGCCGAAGGGCGGCCAGATGGTGACTAGACTTGGAGCTGAGCTGGCTGCACCCTCCACAACAAGATTGAAGGACAACAGCTTGGCTGTTCTCCTTCCCCAATTCCTCAATAAAATCTTAAAAAAAAAAAAAAAAGAATCAGCTGAAAAATAAAACAAACCCTTTTCGATACCATGACTGAAGCTTGAGAAACCCAGTTTATGAAGTCTAAAGACTTTTAGAGCTAAAAGGGATCTTAACATTGAATCCATTTTACAGATGAGGAAACAGACTCAAAGTCAGAAAGGGGTTCTGGCCACCTGTGCAGCTCCCTTAACAGCACAAATACAGCTCGTGCTGTGAGTACCATGCTGGATGCTGGGGGATACTGAACACACACCTTGCCCTCAAGGAGCGTGCAGGCAGTAGAGCAGTCATCAGAAAGGGAACTGAGGGAGCTGTGGAGCTGGGCCAAGAGACAAGGCCTTGAAGAACGGCAGGATATGCAGGTGGAGGTAGGTGCAGCAGGGGCTGGACCAGAGGTCTGGGCTCAAGACACCTTGTGGAGTAGAGATCAAGGCTGGAAAGGAGGCCAGGAGGCTGGGTGAACAGCTAAGGTCTAAAGACCAGGTGACAGGGCTTCCACATCTAGCTACGTATTTGTATTTTCCTGTGTTTGGGACCCTGGTCAGGAGATCTCAGGGAGGTGAGGTCAGGGAAGCAGATGGGGTGGAGCATCCCAGGTCAGAAGACAGTGCCACAGAGACTAGAATTCAGGTGAGAATCTGAAAGGAGGCTGCAGCAGTAGCAAGATAGTAGTAGCTTTGGTTCTGCTTAAGATCTTGTATCAGCTTCCTGTGAGGACAGGGTCCAATCCGGAATTTGGGGAAGTTAGCAGGAGTCCCTGAGGTAGGAAGTGAGAGGCTAAGGCAGGTCAGCTCCCAGAAACCACCTTCCCTATTACATTTCTTGCCTGCCCATCTGCCCATCTGGACTGTGACATTCTTTTTTTATTTTTATTTTTCAAATATTATTGGGGAACAGTGTGTTTTTTCCAGGATCCATCAGCTCTTAAGACAAGTCATTGTTTTCAATCTAGTTGTGGAGGGCGCAGCTCACTGGCCCATGTGGGAATTGAACTGGCAACCTTGGTGTTAAGAGCCTGCACTCTAACCACCTGAACTAACTGGCTGCCCCCTGGACTGTGTTGTGGCAGTGGGCCCTAGACAAAGGCCCTCCCAGAGCATGTGGTCACCAAGGATTTTGCGCGGGCTTCGGACAAAGACATTCCTGGACTGTGTGGTCATCAAGACTTCCCCGTGTAGTGTTTCCAAGTTCCTGCCTCACCCGTGGACCAGTCGGGAGCTGGCACCGTGGCCACATGTCCTAATAAATCTTAACTGCCAACCTGGAAACCTCAGGGGTATATAACCCCAAATCCCACCTGAGTGGGCGCTCAGCCTCTGGATGTGAATCCGCTGAGCCAGTGCCGATACCAATAAAGGTTGCTTCCCACGCCTTGGTGTCCTCTTTGTCTGGGTCCCCGCAACAGTGTGACATTCTTGAAGGCCTGGACTTCACCATGTCATTCTCTGTGTCCCCTTCCCCCGGCCGAAGCCTGGCAAGGCAACTTTCCACAATGAGTTTGATAAATATTTGTTGCCTAATAAAGTGGGTGGCTGTAACCACAGGGACCAGCTCAACAAGGAGTAAACAGATCCACAGATGAAACTGCAAACACTGTAACGATCACTACAATATCATAGATAATATTAAAAATTAGAATTAAAAACCCAAAATGCATAGGTGAATTATGGCACAACCACTCAATGGAGTTTTACATAGATTTTAATTGACCACTTTAAAACCTGTGGAAGCAGGAAGAAATGCTTATAAACAAAGATACAAAATGATATATATGCAATGGATACAAAAACCTATACAGAATAGTATTAGAAAAGAAATGTATTAAAAAATGAAAATTGGGCCAGAATGTCAGGATTATGATTTTTTTCCTCCACAACATTTTTTTTTTTTAAGATTTTATTGGGAAATTGGGGAAAGGGAACAGTGTTGGGAAATTGGGGAAGGGGAACAGCCAAGTTGTTGTCCTTCAATCTTAGTTGTAGAGGGTGCAGCTAGCTCAGCTCCAAGTCCAGTCGCCATCCAGCCGCTGATCGGAAGCTCACAGCCACTCCCCTCAAGGTGCCAAGTTCAATCTTAGTTGGAGGTGGGTGTAGCCCGCCATCTCAAACAGGCAACCTTGTTGCTAGGAGCCTGTGTTCTCACCAGTTGAGCCATCCTGCCACCTATTGGCAGGTCAGCGTCAGCTCTTCACAATACTCGTTTTTTTTTTTCTTTATTCCCCCCCACTCCCACACCCCACAACATTCTTTACTAAAATTTTCCTTGGGCTTTTGAGTCAGATGGACTTGAATTTGCATAGAGGCTCCTCTGCTTATCAGCTATGTGATCTTGAGAAATTCACTGTTACTTTCCTGAGTCTCAGTCTCCTCATCTGGAAAATGGGAACACGAGAGCTCACCCCCTCATTGGGCCATCGTGTACACGAAATGGGACCATGTCAGGAGAGCTCTTGGCATACTGTCTTGCATGCATTAGGTTCTCTAAAACTAGTAATCGAGTTAGGAATATTATTAACCCCAGTGGTATTTTGTTTACAGAAGCTTTTATTTATAAGTTTTTGGGGACAATAGATTTATTTGTGTGTGTTAAAATGAAATAGGCTCTTTGTAAAGAAAAACACAGAAAAGCCTAAGGAACTAAAAATTATCCAAAATACTAACATCTAGAAATGACCACTGAAAATATTTTGGTTAATGTCTTCTAGAATTCTCTCTAAAGAAACAGTTTTATATAATTGTCCATAAATGGACATTGTCTACTTACATTGTAGATAATCTTTTTTTCAATAATGTCATGAGCTCCTTTTAATGTCAGTAACTATACATATGATCATAATTTTTTAAAACTTAAGTTTCCTGTGGAGAAAATTTTTAAATGTACAAAAGTAGGGAAAAGAGTATAATGAGCTCACCCACCACCTAGCTTCAACAGCAGTTTGTGGCTAATCTCATTCATCTATACCCAGCCCACTCCTCCAACATCAGATTATTTTAAAATAAATTTAAAGCAAATGTATAATTTAAATTATACTTACAGCAAATTTTTAAAGCAAGTCTGAGAAATAGAAATATAGAAACAGTAAGTTTCTATTCTATACATGTACCTGTTTACACTTTTAACCAGTTTTGTACTGATGAACATTTTGTTTTTTTCCTTTTTTTCTGTTATAAACAATGCTGTGGTGTATATTTTTTTGCTCTTAAAAAGTGAGGGCCTCTTCTTCCAAACACCCATGGAGACGATACTCAAAATATTTAGCAACCAATAAGACAAGGCCATCAAACAATCAGAATAGACATGGGCTCCAGGGCTGGAATAGAGAACAGGAGGACCCCACTCCTCCCCTCATGCCAGCCATTAACCCCTTAGTTGCTGAATCATGAGGAAGTCTGGGGGCATGAGGGGAGGAGTTGAGGGGCTTGGACAATGTATATACACAACACCAGTATGGCAGTATTTCAATATGTCAATAACTGTGCAAAACAGCTAAACATCAGCCCTCGACTTCCGGTGCTCTCCCAAGAGGAAACCACTGTTAACAGTTGTTTGGGGTATCCGTCCAGAAATGTTCTCTCTATATATATAATCTTTAAAGCTTTTACATACATGAGAGCATACTTTACACACCATGCCATGCCTTGCTCTTTTTATGTAACAGGATATCTAGTAGGTATTTCTGTATCAGCATGGACAGACCTACTGCATTCACAGTTTGATGTTGCATTGCCTGGCTCTAAGCATATAGGCTGTGTGTGTGTGTGTGTGTGTGTGTGTGTGTGTGTGTGTGTGTGTGTGTGTGTGAGATTTAGGATTCTTTCTCCCCATTCTTTCCTTTCCTGCATCTCTCCCTAATGATTTTGCCCAGGGCTCAGTGGACTGAAGGTGTCTACTGGTGACACTGTAGTCACCAATGAGGCAGCTGAGCCTTCAGAAAGTTCACTGGTTAGTATTAATAATTAGAAGAAAAAAATTATATAAAACATCTTTCCCAAAGAGCTTACCTTGGATTGTCCAAAGATTTGTTTTTCCCACGTGGTTTCTTTCCAAGTTGAGAGTCTTAAAGATACCACAATGTTATAGAGAAGCTGTTGCCCATCGATACAAAATCAGAATTTATTGTAGGTCAAATCCAGAGGTTCCAGAGCTCAAGACTTCAGTGGTCATTCCAAGTGATTAAAACGCCAAAGCAGAAAGTGCAGAGTATGTGTAGTGCAGAGAGACAGACTTCCAGTGAATCTAGCCACAGGCTTTTACAAAGGCTGAACTGGCATGAGTGCAAATGTCCCTTCTAAACACAATTCAGTCTGAATATTTCAAAATTGCAATGCAAGTCAAACTAGGGGAGAAAGTCACCCCTCCAGTCAGATTCTCTTGACTTAGGCCTTGAGTTGTGAGGTTTGTCCTGGGGAGATGGCAGCCCAAGGTTTGTTTCTTTTATTGCTATGGAAACAGAATGGCAGCACCTGATTTGCTCAGGCACTCTGCTCTTAAAGAAAAAAGGCTGGAGAAGCAGCCCGTGAAGAAATCCTCCAAGGCATGAGACAAAATACACTGACAATATACTTTCAGAGGAAATAGAACTAAACAGCACTCCTAGGCTTACTTGGCCCGTGGCAGCAGTGTCAGACAGGATCTGGGATGGATTTTTAGCTTCTCTGACATTTACTCACAGACACCTAAAACTCTACAGTAGCCACTTTCTTCCTTGAATTTCAAGCTTTGAAATCTGTATAAGTACAAATTCCCCAGGGCAGGCGTCTTTTTCAGGTGCCAGGAATTCAGATTTTTTTTTTTCTAAGTAAAGCTATCTTTTCTCATTATAGAAAAAAAATGGCCATTTATTATAGACCAGTGGCTTCCCTTTTATTTTACTGCAACTCACTATAAGAAATATATTTTACACATTTTGAAATAAAAAGTTGGATGAAATAATATCCTTATTATGAATTCTCACCTAGTTCTTTTTCTTCTACTTAAAATGAAAGCTGATTATACATCCACTAGATCGATTTCATGATCCACTGATGGGTCACAACCCATAGTTTACAAAACATTGTTATAAATTTATGCATTCATTCTACTCCACATTTAATATCTACTGCGTGCCAGGCACTTTTGTGAGGTGTGGGTTCTACCTCAGTTCCTGTGCTCCATAGAGCTTAGAGACTAGAGGGGAAAGAGACAATTAATAAATTCAATAAAAGCACAGTGAAGCTTGCCAGATGCAGTGTGAGTGTATAGCAGGGATTCTCTTCTAGTCTGAAGAGTCAGACAACAGTTTTAATCAGAGAAGCAATCTGACTAGCTCTGCATATTAGAAGGATCATTTTGATTGCAATGTAGAGGAACAATTGGAGGGGCTAAAACAGGAGGCAGGGAAACCAGTTAGAAGTCTATGGCAGTGGTCAAATGAGACACAATTGTGGCCTTAGCTGAGGGAGCAGCAGTGGGGATGGAGAGAAGGGGATGCAATAGGACTTGATTGATTGGATCCCAAGGTGAGGGAAGGAGGCAGTGATGATTCCTGGGTTTCTATCTCAAGCAGTTGAGTAGATGGCGGAGCCATTTTTTGAGATGGGAAAGTCTGGAAGAGAAACAGGCTCAGGGGAGCAGATCCTGACTTCAGGCTTAGATATGCTGAGTTTGAGATGCCAGGGAGACATTGAAATGGAGATGTCTGTTACAGAGTTTATTACATGTTTGGGGAGTTCAAAAGAATCTGGGCTGAAAACACTTTAAGAGTATCAGAGTAGATATTTAAAGCCCAGGGATGAGATCACACAGGGAAAGGGTGTTGTGTAAGAGAACAGGGCCTAGTACAGAGCCCCGAGAAGCCCAATATTTGCAATAGTATTCCTCAATGTGTAAGTTAAAATTTGTACAACTATCACTTGAATGAAAGTGGCTTAAACCAAAGAGGTTCATTAATTTCACGAAATACAAAGTATGGAGGTGGCGCTATCAGTTGATGCAGACTCAGCAATGTCATCAGAGAACTGGGTTCTTTACATGTTTCTGTCATGCCAGCCTGTGTGTCGCCTGAGGGGAGCCTTGTGGTTGCACTATGGCTGCCACAGCTACAAGTAACATAAGCACATTAGCTGGAGACAGAGTTCAAAAGCTAAGAGGGAGAGAAAGGTGCAAAGAGAACAATGGATAGATTTGAGTAGTCATCCACTAGAGATTGGCTATTTACTCTGAGTCTGTTTATTGTGTGAAATTGTATATTAAAATGCTTTCTTATGATTTAAAAAGAGCAGGATTCGGGTCTTGTGTGGAGAGTGGCTAAAAACAAAGGTACAAAGGAAGCAGCCACTTGACTTGGCCAAGGTTTAACACAAATTACCATGACTTTGGGATTTTTTTCCTCCTTTCCTCTTTTTACACATTAGTACAACTTTGTCAGCTCCAAAATGGCAAAAACAGCTTCCAAAATGAAGGCTTTTAGGGACTAAGTGTAACTGCTCTTCTCTTTGGTTGAATTTAGGGAAACTTGGGCATTGCATGAAAAGCACTTTCCAAAGACCCAGGAAGGAGACTGATGCTACCAACATTAGTGATTTTGCCGAGAAGGCAAGAACAATACATTAATGAAATAATACTTTGATTTTTATATATTGGCTTTTCTGTGTTTTTCTCTAACACCTCACGTCACCTTCGGTGTGCTTTCCTCATACTTTTTCACACTGAAGAACAAAACACTTCATGTTACTGCTGGCAACACTGCCTGCCAGGCAACAGTTGTATTTCAGCATCTTTGCCAAACCTGCATGGGAACTTTGGTCATTTGAAAATTTTACAGCCCTTATTTGGCCTTAATTTAATAAATAAATAAATAAAAAAAAGACTAATGAAAACCAAAGCTTGATACGAGCATAACTCAAACTTAATAAAAACAGAGCTGGAAATTGGAAATCAATAGGATGCTGAAAGCATCAAATCTTTTCTCTTGTCAGGTTTTTGGACTTAACCACATCTACTGCAATGATTTGTGAAAGAAAACAATTCAAGATGCTGGAAATACCACTAAATTTCATGTCAAACAAGTAGAGACTCATACTTCACTTATTCCTCACAAAACATTCATAATTCTAAATGGATATTAGATGAATTTAAAAAATAAAGCAACTAAATTGTAACAAAGATGAGAATATCAAATACCTTTCTCTACTAAAGTCCAATAATTTTTCAATTTAGTTTCTTGGAAACAGTTTCTAAATAGCTAAGAATACCAACAGTAGATTGTGGACTGTAAGAATAAGAATTGCTTCACATTTCCTAAATCTTTTCAAATTAACAATCTGCATATCAACGACTTCAGATTTTGCTTTTTGCTGCTGTTACTTGGCTAAAGAAGAAATATGGCATACATAGATACCCCGTCTATTCTATTTTTTAAACAAATAACTAAGAAAATACAATAAGATCTACTACTTATGACTACCGTTGGTTTGTTTGGCTAATAGAGGTGGTTTTCTGTACCCAAAACAACATAATATAAAGGTAAGACATAATGCAGGACTATTTGTGAAAAGAAATGCACAGAAAGACAATGAAAATTTAAGATATTCATGTTTATTATCTGATTTACATTTGACAAAGCAAAGGTGGGTGCAACAAAGAGCTGTTTGACAAAATCAACCCCAGATATCAAACAGGGTTTTCCTGGCTGCCCCAGAGGGCACCCTGCCACTCCTAGGTAGCTGTGCTCTGCAAAGCCAGCACTCAGTGTAGACACTGCCTGTCTGCTGCACTTGGAGTACAGACCTGCTGGCAACTGACATCAAAGGAGCAGACCATCACTCAGCTCTCGTTCCAGATGTCAAAAGTCAACGTTAGTAACCAACAAGTAGTACTAATTACGTACTAGAATTGTCAGAAAAAGTAACTGGCTTTGAATGCTGTATAAAATACACCCTTTAGAGAGAAGATGCTCTTGGGAGCTGCCCCTAACTTATTTCCTTCCTTTGCAAAAGTCTGTTCTTTCATGTCAAACAAAGGACTTATAATACAAAACTTTAAAAAACTACTTTAACAATGGTTATTAACTTCTCCTTAAGACGCATGCCTAAGGTTATTTACATAAGTTTGGGATCAGCATATTCAGGAGTACCTTTAATTCTGAGCTTACGAAGGTATTCCTCCTACTATGTAATAGGATGCTCAGAAATACCTGAGGTGTAATCACTGAAAACCTTGAAGGAGAAAAAGATTGGAGTTTCCTATACTCGCATAAAAATATGGACACAGTTGATATAGAAAAACTAAAATGTGAACAGTATTAAAGCATAACAGATACGAGGAGGAGGAACTTATTATGAGGCCCCAGTACTTCTGACTATAGTTTGCACACAAATTTGTGATAATAGAGATTCTCAGGCTGTTATAAAAAATGATTTTAGGTGGAAACTTCAAAAACCAGCAAAACCCAATTCTAAACAGGATTCATTTCTAGAGCTAAGCATGCGCCAGTATACAATTCTGCTTCTGGTAGAACGTGCTTATTTGGCTATGAATACGCCCTCGCCCTTCCTCTAAAGTGATCATTTTAGCATCACTTACGGAAAAGTATACTAATTAGACTATTCCAAGATCTAGCTTAATTTGTAGCTATTCATATAATAGCCATAAATATGACAATTTAACACTTTGTACTACTCTCTAGTCCTGTGTTTTCCTGCTTCCTGATGTCTCTTGGAAACTGACAACAGGAAGATTATTTTCTTAAGAAAATAAATAAAGCTTTAAGAATTGGCTAAAATAAGCACCCCAGAATTACTTTATGAAGTAGAAACTCAAACACTATTTAAAAAAGAAGTTAATTGGGATATTTGGGAAACAATATAACATCAGGAATTCTTCCGGCCAATGCCTACCACATTCAGGGACATTTACATTCAGTGGGAATCCTTTCTGAACACATATGTGTAAGGTCTATTGACTCAGCATGACGGAGCGAAGGGGACAGAGAAGGGAAGAGGGTACTTCCACTTTGTTTTAAAGAAATTGACTTAGAAAAGTTTTATTAAAAGATTCTAAAAAGCGTGGAAAACGCTCACATTCTTACCACTGCATGCATGTTGTTTTTCTACCCTTTTGAGCACATAGCTCTTGAAAGGCACCTCAAGAGGAGAGAGGAAGGACCCTCCTCTGGCCTGGGATAAGTGTATCGGTGGGAACCATAGGAGCAAGACTCTTAATAAGAATTCTTCAGAAAATTCCGTTAAGTCAGTATAAAGGAGCAAAAAATTTGCAAATGAAGCACCAAAAAGTGCATATGCCTCTCTTTTTCAAAAATAAAAGAATTAGCCCCCTCCCTCATCTTCTCTCCATCATGCCTTTCACATAATGGTATTTCTTTCTGAACTGCGCTGTCTAGATAAAGCCTGTCATCTGATGAGGATCAGCAACACTCAGAAAACAGATCTGTTTCTTCCCAGGTCACAGCCTTGCATCACAACGCTGAATGCTGAAACCTAATCCTCCTGGTTTCACCTTGTTATTTCACACAGTTAGGAAAAATAAAACAAAACAAAACAAAAAAACCCAAAAAGAACGCCACCACAGAAAAAAGCAAAAGCTTTAACTCTCCCATTAAAAAGTTCATCCTGTAATTTTACATATATTTAGAAAAAGGCAAATATGTCTTAATTTTATTTTACATGAAAAAAAACCAGTCTCAAAGCAAGCACCTGGGTTTCACTTCAGCTTATAATAATTTAATGTGCCTGAGAATTTTTGTGCAAATACATGTCAACTTTCATTAAAAATATGCATAGCACTTTGGAAAAAGTTTAGTTGCAACCAACTTTCCTTATAAAAAGAACTTACAGACATAAATACACAACATTCCCTAATTCCTACTGATTGTACGTTCATTTGAACCCCGTCCAGCCTCCAAGGAAATTTGAAAGACATGCAGTTTGCTACGTTCATACTCCTTGGCCACTACACTTATCCAGAAGAAACCTTCTGAAAACAAGTTTCCTTGGTTCCATTTTACGCATATTTCCTTCTTAAAGTAAATCCCTTTTACCCTCACACACAGGTTGTGTTTTCTGGATGTTGTATAAAAATACAAATTGGAAAAAACTGAACTTCTGTTAATGACAAATACAAAAGAAGTTTGGGCTCCCAGGAGCTCCAAGTCTTAAAAACAGAAAGCAAAAAGGGAGTCTCCACTATTCTGCTCTTACGAAATTCCTTGTCTGCTAATGCCATGAGCATACCATTTGATGGATGTGTAATTTAACCAGATAGCAACAGGGGAAAACATAAAAGCTACCCTACTGTTGTCTCAGTAACAGACGGAGTTTACCCCAACCTTCCAGAACAGCTTTCTGTAGACAACAAAGTTGCTCTTTTTCTCTTCCCATCTCCTAACCTGAGTGTTCCCTGTTTATGCTTCCCAGAAAGGTCCTAGGCAAGTTTAGTATTTCCCGTATGTTTCAAAATGACTGAATTTATTTTCTAGTTACTTGTTATTTTTAAGACAAGAAAACACAACTGAAGGAATACAGTAAACCTTTCGTCCTCTTCTGCCTCCAAACACTCATGACCCATTCAATTATACTTTCAACTTATTAGATCTCACTCATTAGGGCCTCATCCCAATTCTGTTTCCCTTCTTCCACTTCCCTCTATGCACGTTCACAACCCATCTGCAACATTCCTTTTCTCTCGTTAGACCAGACTACATACATCAGTGCAAATCTATTCTTCATCTGCTAATGTGCGTGAAGAGGACAGTTAACTGCTGAACCTCAGTCCTCCTTCAGGACATCCATTTTGGGTGAGGGTACGCACACTGAGGTGCCGAAGCTACCCATCATGATTGGAAGACTCTGATTCCTCCTCAAGCCACTCAGTAAGTTGCTACCTGAATTTAAATAAACAGCAGACTCTGGTCTTTGAAGACCAGTTTCTGCCCCGTGGCTTCTTCCATCTTCCTGGGCATCAGGGGTCTTGATCACTCTGGCTATCCCCAGTCTCTTCAGCCTGTCTACTAAGTTCATCTTCAACTGGCCAACATCAGGAGGGTTCCGGGAAGGCCTCAATCCATACCTCTCCTGGAGGAATGTTTCGGCTGGTCGGGAGGCCAAAAAATTTTCAGAGAGATGCACTCGGGGCTCCACGGGCAGAGGAGAAGGGCAAGGTGAGTGAGACGGTGAATTTGGTGGTGTGGAAGGGATGGACAGGGTCTTGGGGAGAGGCTGGAGAAGGGGGCTCTCTGAAACGGGGCCGTGGTACACTTTAGCGGAGATGCCTTGCTCTTGCAGAAGTTTGGCCAAGCTCATAGTGCTGCTGAAGGTTACAGTGGAATCTCGTCGGTTGGTGATGGACTCACCAGTGCTGAGTCTGTAGGACATAGCGGGAGAATTCACCGCCATGTTTGATGAGCTGCTACCGTTACTTCCACAAGATAATAAAGGAAACCCAGAGCTGAAAAAAAAAAAAGCAGGAGAGACAGCTTAAGAATACAATGCAATCTCCCAGTAACGATTTAAATAACTACAGTAGTTGTCCACCGTAAATAGAGAGGGACACGAAACACATTAGTAACTGAACTCTGTGGAATAAAAATTTTGATGTTAGTTCAATGACTGGCTAATAATTTGTAATTTGTAATTTAGTTATTAACTTATTGAAACATATTTCTCTTCATAAGATATCAAAGTTTACTCTTAGATAACTTTCTTCTTAAATTTTAACTCTAAAATATATACCTGTGAGAATATAAATTTTATGATAGAAATCAAAGAAATTTAGATATTAGGAAAGTAAACTCTAGAAATTATTATGAATATATCCATTTCATAAAGTGAAATATACAGGAGACAATAATCTATGAGTAAATAATTCTTCAACTTTTAAAAAATACAATCTTTCATAATCCAAAGATGCTCTTCTAAGGAGAAATTTATTTCTTTTCAATCTTTCAATTTTATATTACTGAGAGCTAATTAAGTTCTAATTGTTAAATTTCCATTTTTAAGAATGTTAATTCCAAACAATAGTAGTATAGGGATACCACGGGACAAATTTTTCTCAACCTCGACTTAGAACATATGTTTCTAGGAAATTAAAAATAATTAAAAACTTTAACAGCTATTAGACTCTTTCTTCTTATTTTATGTTGTTAAAAAAAATAAACAAGAAATGATGTACTCAAGGAAAGTGATAGAATGGAGAGAGTACTTCTTTAGTCAATTTTCTCCCCCTGAGCAAATGTTACCATATTTAATAAACTTTCATTTCAACACAAAATACTCAATACATCAAGATATCAAGATTTTTAAAGATTCTGAACAAAATACAAATTTAGGATTAATAAATAAACTTTCCAAGGTATCAACTTGTATAAAAGCAAAATTCAAACAAGCTGACTGCTTGGTTAAACTAAAAACCGCTAAACTGATGCAGCCTATATAGTGCTCTCCCAGTCTCCTACCTCCCTGTCCATGCTTTACTGTAGAACTGTCTGTCTTTTCCCAAGTTGTACACTTTGTATGATGGTATCAACCTGAATTGAGAGTCTCCTCAGGAACTAATTTTATAAAACTTATCTTGTTGACTGTTAAGAACAATGCAGAAAGACTGCAGATATGTCTGTTCATTGCAGACTTTATTGAGATTTTTATTTGGTAACACCCAAATGCTTCTCTAAACAACTGATTTGCTTCTATCTTATAAACACTGTGAATCATAATCTTATTTCCCTCCACACTGGCAGCTAGAAAGTTAAGACTCAAATATATGGCTCACCTTAGCAAGTATGTAAGACTTCATGGTCTAATTGGTACATTAGATTTATTTCTGTATCTATTTTATAACCTTACTCTTGATTCCTTTTTGCTGTATTTTTTTTCCTCTCCTTCTAGTTAACATTATCCCTGCAATGTTCCACATATCTTTGAAAACTACCTTAGATTCTTTTGGGAAGTGGCAGGATAGAAATAGTAGCAATACGGCTTCATAAGATCCCTCAACTATGTGCTGGATTATCCATTAGGCACTTTGCTGCATACCGAGGTACAATGGTTAGCTAGAGGAAAAGCACATGTGCAACTGAGTTGAAAAATTTTCACGGGACACTGCTTTTACTTGCAAGAACTAACAGACTGTGTAGTAAAGAATTTGTCCTTGTCTAAAGGGGTCTGGCCTTTGCCCTCAGCTTCTGAGAGGTAATCTATGCCACAGCTGATAGAAGTGTCTTTGTTTAGGATGAAGATTTTGGGGTGGGCCTGGCCACAACCAATAGTTGTAGGATGGGGACTGGCCATGCCAGAAAGACCAACCATTTGACTTGGGTAGGGGTTTAGGTCAGTGGACCAGGAGGCGAGTTCAAACATATGGGTAATCAATGAACCAATCAATCACGCCTATGCACTGAAGCCTCAATACAAAATCTGGACACTGAGGCTTGGGTGAGCTTCCATGGTTGGCAATGCTCTGTGTACACTAACATCCACTGATGCCAGGAAAGTAATGACCCCTAAGGAAAGGGACCCTCCCTGACTCTGACCTAGTGTCTCCTCCTTTGGCTAATTTTAACATGTATTCTTTCCCTGTAATAAATAATAACCATGACATAATAGCTTTCAGTGAAACTCTGTGAGTCCTTTTAGCAAATTATCAAACCAGAAAGTGGTTTTGGGAACCCCATGAACTTGCAGGTGGTGTGAGAAGTGAGGGCAGTCTGGTGTGGAGGACTGGTCCCTCAAATCTTGCAGTTTGGCTAGCTGTGGGTATAGTTCCAGTTGGGCCATTTACTACCTGTTTACCCTTGGACAAGTCACATGAACTTCCTCTGCCTCAGTTTCTTCATTTAAACAACACATACCCACTTGCCCTGACTACTTCAAAGACTTAAAATGGTCCATTGAGAAAATACAATGTGAAAATATTCTAAAGACAAATTATCACAGCACATTCATTAAAATTCTGGGACTTAAAATGAAAGTAATTTTTAAAAGAAATTCATGAAAACATAGTTGAAGAAGGAAGTGAGGCCTCAAATTGCCCAGACCTACCTGGGGGTAACCTGAGTGATATCAGAGGGATGTAATATCCTACAGGTGGTGAAGGTGAATGTCAAGTTTGTGCATGAGAGACACTTTCCTGGGTTTGAGGTTGCAACTAAAGGAGAGATTTTTAAGGAATCAAACACAAAATTGAAAGAGTGGGTTAAAAACGTAAAAAGTTCATTATTATTTATTAATAATACAGCATTTATCAAGTGTCATTTGTACAATAATCCCCAAATCTGGAAATGAAATATACATAAATATTGCATTAGTAGTGCCTGGTTAGTATATAGCTGAATCTTTTAATACTGTCATTTAAAAGGATTAAAAGTAGCTCAGAAACAAGAGAAAAACACATACTGAGAAAAATACATTAAAAAACCCCAACAAACCAAGATCTAGCCATCCAATCTTTCTAGCCAAACTATCTATTCCAGTGGTTCTCAAAGTGTGGTCTGCAGGCCTGTGGGAGTCTACAGATCAAAACTACTTCCATGGCGATGCTAAGAAGCCATCTACATTTTCGATTAGGTTGGTCCCAAAGCTATGGTGGGTAAAACTGCGGACTCCTTAGCACAAATCAAGGCAATGGCACCAAGCTGTACTGGTCTTCTTCACTGCTGTCCGCTCACACTATTAAAAAAAAAAAGCCAGATTCACATAAGAATGTCCCTGATGAAGGACATTATTTATTAAACGTTAACTCTTGACTCTTTTAATATTCTATGTGATGAAATGGGAAGCATTGAGCACTCTGTCATATACCAAGATGCAACGTTCATCTAGAGGAAAATCGCATGTGCAAATGAGTTGAAATTTGTTCATGGGACACCGCTTTTACTTGTAAGAACAACTAACAGACAAACTACAGTTATGCAGACTTCGATATCTGGCAGAAATTTTTCTTGAAAATGAATGCAGTGAGCCTGTCTTTTCAAGAAAAATAGCTGACAGTGTTTGCTGCCACTGACAAAATATGAGGTTTTGAGTGAA